CCCGCGGCTGCTGGGCCGGCTCCTCTCGCTGTACCCGCTACGAAAACTTCTGCCGTCGAACTCGTCCATCACCTCGAAAGCCCGGTCATCCTGATCCAGGGAAGGGCTGCCCCTGGGCGGGGCCACCTGGACCTTCCGGGGCCTCTTGACAACCTGTTGTCAAAACAAACAGTGGGGACCAGCAGTTAGCGTAATGGCTATGTCACTGGACTCCCACGTAGTGGACCATGGTTCGCGTCCCCGACCCGGTGGCTTAAAACTCACGCCGGGCGCGTGTGTGTGCATGCCCAAGATCCCAAGAGGAGAATGGAGGAGAAGGGATTGCAGTGTGACCATCCCCCTGGGGGGGGGATTTCTTGCTTTCTATCTCTCTGTCTCTCTCTGCCTGTCTGGTGAGTGTATGCGCCCTATAGCAAAAACCTCTCCAAAAAAAACCCAAAAAACAAAACAAAACAGTGGGCACACAGGACGGTCACAGTTACATGCAAGCTTAACAGCCCTGGTTCTCGTTTCCGTAGAACGGTTTCCCTGCTGACTCAAGCCCCTGGTTCCTCAAGTGGAAACTGGTACAATTAAGAACCTCATAGGGTTATGACGTGGTGAGACAGTGAGTATGAGGCTGAGTACAGCGCCTTAGATTAAGCTGGTCATAAAAGTACCTCCAAAATGCGCTTCTACTCACTTGTAAGGCCTCACCTTGAGTCACTTAGCTGCAAAAGTAAAATGAAAATTCAGAAAAGTGAGCTATTCTATACCTAAATGTCTAGTCTTCCAAAAGTTAATACCATTAAAAGGGGGAGTTGAAGGAGGGAGAGGCAAGGGGAAAGAGGGACACTTCTAGATTAAAAGACGCTAAAGATGAAGCCGGCAGATGGCACAGCAATGACATCGCTGGACTGCGGTATGGCTGAGTAAGGCTGGAGAACCAATGAAGTGGCTTGAAAAACACACCAGGCGCATGTGAGTGCATGCCCAGGAGCCGGGAGGAGAATGGAGAAGGGACCGCAGTGTGGCCATCTCTCCTGGGGGTGATTTCTCACTTTCCCTCACTGTCTCTGTCTTTCTCTCTGTCCAGCGAGTGCACATGCCCTAAGGCAAAAACCTCTAAATACTACTACTAATAATAAATTAAATATAAGAGACTAAAGAAATAACTATCAAATGCAATGGGTCAACTTTTGATTAGATCCTGGATGGGGGGAAAAAGAAAATCTGTCAAAGACATCTTGAGATACAAACTATTAATTGACACTAGAGAAGTATAAATTTTCTTAAATACGGGAGCAGTATAATAGTTATGTAGGAACCAGCAGCTAGCATAATGACTATGTCGCTGGAATCCCACGTAGTTGACCGTGGTTCGCATCCCGGACCCAGTGGCTTAAAACTCACGCCGGGAGCATGTGCGTGTGTGCCCAAGATCCCGAGAGGAGAATGGAGGAGAAGGGATTGAGGCGTGACCATCCCCCCTGGGTGGTGATTTCTCGCTTTCTGTCTCTATGTCTCTGTCTGTCTGGCGAGCTCACGTGCCCTATAGCAAAAAACCTCTCCAAAAAAAAAAAAAAAAAAAAGTTATGTAGAATGCTCTTTTGCTCGGGAGATGCACACTGAAGTTAGTAGACTGAACTGCCGTGTCTGCAGCTTAGCCTATGACTCACCAAAAATCGGTGTTTCTATGCACATAGAAAGGAGGTAAAAATGGCAGATTTTTAAGTGTTTATTACACTGATCTTTCAACTCTTTTTGCTTGAAAATCTTCATATGTTGGGAAAAAAAAATAAACAACTATAACTACCATAAAAGTGGTCCATTCCTCCAGCACTGGCCTTAAACACACTTAATTCAGTTCCCACTTCATGGGTCTCCCTTCCCTGTAGCAGTGAACACTTCCTGCAGCACACTCTCAGTCAGATTTGCTAAATGAATGCAGAGTGAGTGAGTGAGTGAGTGAATGAATGATGCATCCTATGGACTGCCCCATCCTCTAAGAAATCCTTAGTCTATGAAGACATAACAGATCTTCCTTTACAAATGAGTTTTTGAGCTGAAATTGATTTTTATTTTTTTCAAATTAGTACCATTTTACCGTTCTCTTGGGCAATAACTGTCTAACCTGGTTTCTAAGGAAACTCGCTCAGAAAGAGAATCACCGGACATAGAAGGATAAGGAAAGGCAGGGAGGGTGACTGACATACATTTTCATATCACCCACAACATGACCCTCCAAAAGTACTGCGGGTCCAAGAAGCAGCAGTCCTGGGTTATGTAACTCTGTCAAATGCTTAAAAATAAGTGGTGATTTTTCTTTTGGGCATAAAAACAAAATGTTTTTGAGGAGAGCTGACAGCAAACCCCATCCTTACAATGGCAGCGATCTTCCCGCTTTTTCTCAGCTGCTGGACTGCGAAGGAGTGGGGCACGTCCTCCATGGGGGTGCCATTCACCATGACCACCCTGTCATTTTCTCTGTAAACAAGAAACAAAAATGGGTCATGAAACCCCCATCTACTCATTGTGAATCATTTACTTGGGAAACAGTAAATCCACCCGAAAGGCTTATTCAAGGGCTCAGTGTCTGATGGCTTCCAAGCCTCAGTTAACGCACTCTGAGCGCTTTTCCGAAGAAGGAAACTGGAGTCTAAGGGGAACCACGGAGGGGAGAGAGGTCTGCCCCCTACACACCTCAGGGTCACTAGAGGAGGCACACAAAAGTGGCCAGGTCTGGACACCAAGAAGGATTTCTGTAACAGTCCTCAGTTACCCAAGGAACACAAGGGCCTTCAGAAAGTCTGCAAATATTCCTAAGTAGGTGCACGTCCATTTATGCTTTTTGGAGGAAAAGAGGTCAAGCACTTTACCTCGAATTCATAGAGTTTCTTTCGTTTTTGCCCAAGGGTGTGTGTGCTTACAGAGAGGGACAGAGAGAGAGGAGAAAGCACCCCCTATGGGGAATGACCATGCCACAATCCCCTCTCTTCCACTTCCCCACTCTTTCAGAATTTGGGGCATCATATATATGTGTCCAGCTGCATCCAGGCCTCAAACCCTGCAATCAGCAATGTGGGATCCAACTACCTTAACCACCGAGGCCACAGAGCCAGCCCAAGAAGTTTTTAGATACCAGAATCCTAAGTGTCAGATATGTTCCTCCCAAAAACTGTTTTGCTTTGTTTTTAAATTTTTGCCATGGGGAATATGTACTTGCTGGAGAGAGACAGAGAGAGAGGAAATTTGAGAAATCTCCCCCTGGAGGGGACAGCTGTGCTACAACCCATTTTCCTATCAGGATTCTGGACACACACCTGGCATATTTTTCAAGCCATTGAATTTGGGACTCGAACTGTAGAACTGGCCATGTGGGAACCGGCTGCCTTCATCACCAAGTCACATAGTTGGCCCAAGAAATTTTGAGATTACAGAATCCTATTACTTCAGCTCCTCCTAAAAATTGTTTTATTTAATTAATTTATTTAAATGCCAGAAAGTGTGTATGCACCGGAGGGAGAAACAGAAGTGCCTCAAAGCAGCCTGGTCATGCCACAATCCCCTTTCCTTTATCCCTCCTTCCTGTCAGGACTCTGGCACGCATGTGCTAAGCACGTTTTTTAAGTTACTGAGGCCAGGACTGGAACCATATTTAGTCATGTGGAAGCTGGATCCCTCCACACAGGGCTTAACTGGTGTGCTACAGTGCTGGCCCCAAAATTACTTTAAAATGTTATACTGTTCCATAGGGAAGACTTCAAATGCCACCAGAACCCCAACATTGGAGCTATCCGACCCAGGCAACCATAGGGTTAACTTTAGATTCTGCCCTGAGAAGTTATCTGGAGGGGACTCAGGCATGCATCTTTTAAAACGGCCTTATCTCTTCAGGCCAGAAAGCTAGTGGCTGAAAACCTGTGTTTTCCTGTAGTTAAGTTTTCCCAGTTTCTACATCCCTCTTACAGATAAGATCACCAGTAAGCTGAAGCCTCCTCATTCGGGTATTACTGAATATAAATCAAAACAGGTTTCAACGATGTTGGGGAGGCAAAGTGGGGAGGAAATCACACCAATTTCAACGCCCCACTCAGAACTTGTTCTTGGCCTGGCCAAGGCGGCGCAGCAGTGACACAGCACTCTATAAGGCTGAAGCCACATGGAAGATGGGGGCTCGGTTCCCAGACTGACTTGACATGCCAGACAGGTGTGATCCTGACTAGCAGAGAAAGGCTTGGCGGGGGGTAGAGGGGTGGGGAGGTCGTGGTGTTAGACTCTGAGGGTGCTTCTCTATCTGCCTTTCTCTCTTTCTCTCACGGAAGAAAGAAACTTAAAAAGAAGGGTTAGTGAGTGGTATGGAGGTTATAGAAGGCTAGAATCAACATAGCTGACTCTGTGGTTTGAGTCCCAGATCCAGTGGCTTGAAAATCACTTTCCTTATCTCTCTCTCTCTCTCTGGCGAGCACTTGCACTCTATGACAAAACTAAACAAATAAACAAAACTAAACTTAAAAAAAAAAAAAAAAGAAAGAAACAAAGACTTCCTAAATCTAGGAGTGATATTTGGAAACTTTGATATCTTTCTTTGGAAACAATTGCCTTCTTTCTTTCAAAGTATGAATGGTCCCAAAGATTTGAGGATTATTAAAACATAATGTTGAGGGAGCAGCAGATGGCGTAATGATGATGTCGCTGGACTCCCACATGGGCCAACCAAAATTCAAGTCCCGGACCCAGTGGCTTCAAATTTACACTAGGCGCATGTGCATGCATGCCCAAAATTCTGAGAGGAGAGTGGAAGGGAAGGGATCGTGGTGTGGCCATCCCCTCTAGGGGGTGATTTGTTGCTTTCTGTCTCTCTACCTCTGTCTCACCAGCGAGCATAAATGCCCTATAACAAAAATTTCTCTTTAAAACAAAACAAAACGTAGTGTTGAGCCAGAGCTGTAACACAGTGGTTAAGCACCATGCATAGGGAGCTGGATGCCACATAGCCAACCACAGTTTGAATCCAAGTCCAAGTGACTTGAAAGACACATAGAGTGTATGTGTGTGTACATGCCCAAATCCTAACAGGATGGAAAAATGGCGGGAAACTGAGATATGACCTTGATACCCATTTGAACACTTTTTAAACATTACATACAAGTTTTTTTGTTTGTTTTAACTTTCACAAGTACACACCAACCAAAGCATCTTGTCAAGGGCCAACCAGCGGGGCTGGCTAAGAGGAGGGGGAAACCGACACTCACTGAAGCAGCCCATCGGCAGGCCCTCCGGGGAGCACGTCAGAAATGACAATCGATGTTTCTCCATTTTCAAAGTGAGGGTTGTCTCTGCCTCCAGACACTGCAATTCCAAATCCTCTTTTGGAATCCTGTTCATCGAAGTTAAAAGAAAAATTAAAAATCCTTTCATGAGAGACTTGCAGGATTTATTACACATTCTCAATAAAATAAAGGTCAAATCAATCACCAGAGCCAGCTCGGGAACAGATAGGTTTACAGAAACGAATGAGAAACAAAATAAAGCAACATCACAGTCAGTTGATGGGTTTATAAAGGAAAACTCCTTATCTACGAGAAACAGCCCAGAGCAAACTGGAAAGGCTGATAGTCCAGTCAGAGTTCTCATGAGGCGCTGGAGGGAGGTGGGAAATACCCTATCGTGGCCAAACAGGGAGGTGCTATTCAAAGCACTGAGCATGTTTGCCTCATGCTGGCCTCAGTAAAAATTGAGGATTCAGGCCAGCAGATGGCATGGTGGTTAAGGCACTGGGCTCCCACATGGTTGACCACAGTTCAAGTCTCAGAGCTGGTGGCTTCCTTTCTAATGCCCGCCCCCCTCTAAAAATCCTTTCATGAGAGACTTGCAGGATTTATTACACATTCTCAATAAAATAAAGGTCAAATCAATCACCAGAGCCAGCTCGGGAACAGATAGGTTTACAGAAACGAATGAGAAACAAAATAAAGCAACATCACAGTCAGTTGATGGGTTTATAAAGGAAAACTCCTTATCTACGAGAAACAGCCCAGAGCAAACTGGAAAGGCTGATAGTCCAGTCAGAGTTCTCATGAGGCGCTGGAGGGAGGTGGGAAATACCCTATCGTGGCCAAACAGGGAGGTGCTATTCAAAGCACTGAGCATGTTTGCCTCATGCTGGCCTCAGTAAAAATTGAGGATTCAGGCCAGCAGATGGCATGGTGGTTAAGGCACTGGGCTCCCACATGGTTGACCACAGTTCAAGTCTCAGAGCTGGTGGCTTCCTTTCTAATGCCCGCCCCCCTCTCTCTGGTAAGCGCAGGTGCCCTATAGCAAATTAAATAATAGCAAGAATAATAAGAGATCAATTAAATAATTCTCTTTAAAAATGAGGCTATGGTGAAACTACATATTCATTCACTTATAACATGAAATTACATTAAAAATCTCAAAAAAGGAAAATGGGTAAATAAATACAGAATTTCAGGCACATAAACTTTTTTCCTAGCCTAGTCCCAAATAAAATTTCTCAGCAATTGGCCTAACTCACAATGACTTGTGAAAAACTATAAATCTTAGGAGATTTCCATAAAGTAACTCAGGTTTGGGGGAACAAGCAGTAAGTTTATAAGAAAGAATGTTCAAAATTTCCTCAAACTACAGGAAATAACACACTTACCCCACCCCATCCATCCAGACTGAATAATATTTTAAGAGAAATACAGTATAATCTGGACTGAATAATATTTTAAGAGAAATACAGTTTTATTATTTGCTGTTAAAACTGTATTTTTAGGGTCAGCCAGTGGCATGGTGGTAAAGCTAGCTGGATCTCATATGGCTGACTAGGTGGTTTGAGTTCCAGACCTGGAGGCCACTGGGCACATGTGCATGCAAATCCCAAAGGGAACAAGGAATGCCCCCCAAGAAGTACATGGATTGCTCTTTTTTAAAAATGATTATTTTATTTAACTTTATTTATGCATTTATCTATTTATTTTTTAATTAATTTATTTATTTTAATTTGACCAGAGAGGGACAGAGTGAGAGAGAGAAAGTGAGAAACTAAGCTGCCAGGTCCAGGACTTGAACCACGGTTGGCCATGTGGGAGTCCATTGCCCTTAACCACCATGCCACCTGCCAGCCCTGTAAATGGATTAGTTTTGAAGATGAAATCTAAACAACAAATTCATTGAGATACTATAACAAAACAGAGCTTAAACTATTTTCTGCATGTACATGAAGTTTGAAAAACAGATTTATGCACCCTCTGGCAATGCATCAGAGTAAGCCAAGATAGCACACATAACCCTAATTCAGTGTTTAAAAGGCTACGTCCAGGGGCACCAGCAGATGGCATAATGGTTACATTGCTGGACTCCTACACAGTTGACCATGGTTCAAGTCCTGGACCTGGCATCTTAAAACTCACACCAGGGAGCTGGCAGGTAGCGGTGGTTAAGGACACTGGACTCCCACATGGCTGACTACTGTTCGAGTCCCAGACCTGGTGGCTTGGTTTCTCACTTTCTTTTTTTTTTTTTTTTTCTTTTTTTGGAGAGGTTTATGCTATAGGGCACGTGCGCTCACCAGACAGAGAAAGAGAGACAGAGAGACAGAAAGCGAGAAACCACCCCCCGGGGGGATGGCAGTGCTGCAAGCCCTTCTCCATTCTCCTCTTGGGATCTTGGGTATGCACACACACGCGCCCGACATGAGTTTAAGCCACTGGGTCTGGGACTTGAACTGTGGTCGACTACGTGGGAGTCCAGCGACATAGCCATTACGCTAACTGCTGATCCCCTCTTGGTTTCTCACTTTCCTTCTCTCTCGCTCGCTCTGTCCCTCTTTGGTCAAATAATAAATATATTAGATTAAATAATTATTTAAAAAAACAAAAAACCCTCCACATCAGACACATGTGCGTGTATGCATGACCAAGATCCCGAGAAGAAGATGGAGGAGAAGGGATTGTGGCATGTCCCCCCCAGGGGGGGTGATTTCTAATTTTTCTCTCTGTCTCTCTGGCGAGTGCATGCGCCCTATAGGAAAAATCTCTTAAAGTAAGAAAAACAAAAAAAGCCGAACCCAGTTTCGTCCAGATGATATGGTTACACCTGACTACGTAATCCTAAATCAGACTTCAATTATAAAATGTCCACTCAGAGAAGGGCCAGCAGGTGGTGTGGCGGATTCTCACATGGCTGACCACGGTTCAAGCACCAGACCTAGTAGCTTGAAAATCACACCAGGCACATGAATGCGTGTGCCCGAAAGCCCAAGAGAAGATGGGACTGTGGAGTGGCCATCCTCCCTATGGGGTGATTTCTCACTTTCCCTCTCTCTTCTTTGTCTCTCTCCAGTGAGTGCACGCATACCATAGCAAAAAAACCTTGAAAACAAAAAGTCTACTCAGAGGATAAAAAAATCTTTCCCCTCAAGGAAAAGTTCCCATGTAGGATCCACTCTGTTGACTGATTACAAAAATGTGCAACTCAAAACAGGGTGAGTGCACGTGCCCTATAGCAAATTAAATGATAGTAAGGGTGGGTTTCTGTCTGTTAATCAAATAACTGAATCTGGAGGTACAATCACCTGGCACCTGATTTAAACAGAAGCAGCGCCATCTTCTATACCAAGCCTCTGAAGTCTCTCATCTTTGCCAATTTGGAATCCACAACTCAAGGAAAGTATGAAATGCTGGTGGACAGGGCACAGGGGAGAGGCAGAAAGATGACTACAGCTGAAAGTAAGACCTTGACAGGTGGGACCAGCAGGTGGCATAGTGGCTGGCGTGCTGGACTCCCACAGGGCTGACTGCGGTGTGAGTCCTGGATGTAGGGGCTTGCATGCACATGCTTGCTTGCTCATTCACTCTCTCGCTCACTCTCTCTCTCTCGGGAACACATGCCCTATAGCAAAATTAAGCAGTGATAATAATAAATAAAATTAAGTAAGTTTTTTTTTTTAAATAAAGGGGGAAAAAAAGACCTCAACAGACAAAATCCTGCAAATAAAGAAACAATGATTCCTGACCCAGTGATATTACTTTTGTACTTGGATTCAGTCAATTGAAACTAAAATTTATTTTTTGGTTGTTAGAAAACATGTGAGCCTGCCAAAAAGAGACAGAGACAGGGAGAGATGGGGATAGTGAGAAGCTGCCCTCCCCAGGGGGCATGGCTACACCACAATCCCTTCTCCTCCACTCTCCTCAGGATTTTGGGCATGCACACACGCACACCTGGCATGAGTTTCAAGCTGCTGGGTCCAGGACTCAAACCAGAGGACAACATGGGAGTCTAGTACCTTAACCACCATACTACCTACTGACCCCAATAGTACAGGTTATGTTCATTCTACCTCTCTTTTTCATAAACTATTCTGTCCAGAGACAGGTGATAGCACTAAATAACCTCTCGAATGTTCTGTATTATAGCCACCCTAACTAAAAGTACTACAGTATGCAATTTTTGGTAACACAGTTAATCACTGCAGTTAGTTCCTACAAAACATCATCCACCTTATGGAGGAAAAACACAAAACCAGAACTGGGGGGGTGGGGGGAGATAAATGAAGACTCATGTCTAAAATCCGGAAGAGGACTATAGGCAACGGGGAACACAGAGAGCTCACCTTCTGTAGAGTCACGGTGTACTGCTCCCATATCAGCTCTTCCATGCCTGGGGCCTGTGTGAACACAAGCAAATGCAATTTGACTAAGAATACACACATTTCAATGCTAGAAATAAATCTTTACTTCAAAACCCCTCAATACAAAATCCAGCACATACTTTCTGTATACCAAAAAGAGTTGCTATCGGTTTGTAACTTATGTTACCTGTTTACTAACACACTTCTTCAGTACTAGAAGTGCAGTGAGACACAGTAACAGGCCCTAAAAATAAAGACATGTTAAGTGCTAAGATCTTTTATTATCCTCAGTCCAAAACATTGTCATCATAAGATCCCTTCAAAAAAACATCTAATTTTGGGGACCAGCAGATGGCGTAATGGTTATGTTGCTGTCCTCTCACGTAGTTGACCATGGTTCAAGTCCTGGACCTGGCAGCTTAAAACTCATGCCGGCTGCGTGTGTGTTCATGCCCAAGATTCCAAGAGGAGAATGGAGGAAAAGAGACTGCAGTATGGCCATCTCCCTGGGGGATGATTTCTCACTTTCTGTCTGTCTCTCCAGCAAGTACACATGCCCTAAAGCAAAAATCTCTCTTAAAAAAATTTTTTTTAAATCTAGTTTTGGGCCAGCTCCATGGCTTCATAGTTAAGGCAGCCAGATTCTGCATGGCCAGTGAGCCATCTGATTCCCTGACATGGCAGCTGAATAAATGTGTCGGGCACCTGTCCATGCATGCACGCCAAAATCCCAGAAGGAGGGGGAGATAAAGGAGAAGGGATTGCAGTGTGATCATTCTCCGTGGGGGATGCTTTCTCCCTCCCCTCTCTCAAGTGCATGCACCCTCCACCCTACGGATTGCAGTGTGATGTTCCCGTGGGGGAATGCTTCCTGCCTCCCCTCTCTCAAGTGCATGCACCCCCCACCCTCTAACAGTAACAAAGATCTAGTTTCTTTTTTTATTTTTTATTTTTTGGAGAGGTTTTGATATAGGGCATGTGCGCTCACCAGAAAGAGAGAGACAGAGAGACAGAAAGCAAGAAATCACGCCCCAGGGGGAATGGTCACGCCGCAATCCCTTCTCCTCCATTCTCCTCTCGGGATCTTGGGCACGCATGCACACGCGCCCGGCGTGAGTTTTAAGCCACCGGGTCCGGGACGCGAACCACAGTCGACTACGTGGGAGTCCAGCGACATAGCCATTATGCTAACTGCTGGTTCCCACAAAGATCTAGTTTCTAACAGGTGTTACTTTTCATTTGTTAACCACCACCCCTTCCCATGAAAAGTGACATCTGAGGCAAGTTTTCTCCAGGTTTGGCTTTAATAGAACCCTTGCCTTATCCATAAGGTGTACCCAACTGAGGGATCTGTGGGATCTTTTGGCTTTTTCTACATGGGTGTTGCTGAGTGCAAAAGATGGAAATACCTGCACTAGGGCTTCTGTTTCCTACAGTATTCCTGAGGAGATGTCTAGAACAATCCCCCAAATAGTGGCATTATTTATTTTTGTTTGTTTGTTTTTAGTTTCTGCTATAGGGCACATGAACTAGCCAGAGAGAAAGTGTGAGAGGGAAAGTGGGAAACCACCCACCCGGGGTTGATGCCCGTGATGCAAACACTTCTCCTCCAGTCTCCCTTCGAGACTTTGGGCATCCACACACACGTGCCCACACCCAACATATTTTCGAGTTATCGGTCCAAGACTTAAGCCAGCAGTCAGCCATATGGGATCCAAAGGCCTTAACCACCCCACCACCTGCTGGCTCAAGAGTGGAATCACTTTAAAAATGACAATCATCCACTAAATGCAGGCTGTCTTTGAAAAAGCTAGAAATGCCAAGAAAGCTCCAAGCCCTGTGGAGTTTACTCAGAACCCACAATGGACCCAAAAAGCAAACTGCTGTGCATTTTCCCTGCCTCATGTATACATTATCTTTGTAGAAACACAGAGCACCCTACTAATCACACCTGTTCCTCAGAACATCAGCTCTGGGTGCATCCCTAGGACAGGCTGCCGGTGAGCAGGGGCTGAGCTGAGAGCTGAGGTCTGGCCACTCAAACTGCGCCCGCCAGGCTCCGGCCCCACCCAGCTTGAGCTAGGCTGTGTACAGCTCAGACTTGCTATCAACAGCACTGGACTTTCTCCGGCTGAAAGCCTGCAGGGGGCTGCTTAGTATCTGAGGAGCGTTACATGCAGGGCCAGGGTAAAGGGCACACATATTCCAGGACACAGTGATTCCTCTCCTACAGAGATTGCACACACACACGGAGTATTCATCGAAACAACATTTTCAACCAAAACTTGCAAACCTAAATGGCTATAAAGAGCAGAATAGATGAACTGTAATGCATTATTCAAATACAAAGTAGGGGGGCTAGCAGATGGCATGGTGGTTGAGGCACTAGACCCCCCCACATGGCCAACCATGGTTGGAGTCCCAAACTTGGCAACTTTGCTTTCTCACTTAACTCTCCCCTTCTCTGTCTCTGTCTCTCTCTGGTGAATTAAAATAATAAAATTAAATAAATAACTCCTTTTTAAAATACAAAGTAGGACTGGGATAAAAATGAACAAACCAAGACCAGCAGATGGCGTAATGGTTACATCACGGGACTCCTTTGTAGTCGACCGCAGTTCAAGTCCTGGACCTGGCGGCTTAAAACTCACACCAGATGCGTGGGTGTGCATGCCCAAAGTCCCAAGAGGAGAATGGAGAAGAGACTGCAGCATGGCTATCCTCCCTGTGGGGTGACTTCTCACTTTCTGTCTCTCTGCATCTCTCTGTCTCTCTAGTGAGCACAACCACCCTACAGTAAAAATTTCTTAAAAAAAAAAAAAAAGAGAACCGACCACAAATGCAAGCAGTCCCACAGTATAAATGCACAATGATACTCAATTCTCAAATATAACTCAATGCTCAAATATAACAACGCTGAGTGGAAAACACCCCAGAAGAACCTGTAGAGTGGGACATCATTTTTATATAGTTCTAAGAGTAAGCAATTTTCACAATTGGAACATACTTAACATTACTGCACAGAGGACCAGCAGATAGCATAATGGATATGTCACTGGGCTCCCACATGGCTGACCTCAGTTTGAGTCCCAGACCTGGTAGCTTGAAACTCAAGCCAGGTGCATGTGCGTGCATGCCCAAAATCCAAGAGGAGAATGGAGGAGGATCAACGTGGCCATTCCCCCAGGGGGTGATTTCTCACTTCCTGTTTCTCTGTCTCTTTCTGTTTAGCGCATGCACCCTATAGCAAAAATCTCTCTCTAAAAAAATTACCACACTGTACACTTAAAATGGTTCAACTGGTGCATTTTGTGATATGCTCTTTACTACAATAAAAAAGCCAACAGAACTCGTCTTTCATTTAGTGATTATATATAATGAATTATATGCATTTAGTACATATGGTAAAACTACCAAGAAAAATCAAGGAAATGAGAAACATGACATCCAGGATGAGGTGGCCAGGATGACGGAGGGAGAGGAGCAGGTCGGGGGCAGAGGGCCCTGCGTTCTATCTGGCTGAGGGTCCGCGGCTGCGTGTGATGGGCTCGTGGCATGTGTTTCATTAGTATTCTTCATGACTCTGAAAAATAGATTCTTTTATAGATTAAAAATATATATATATGGTGGCAAGTAGGTGAACAGGAAGAGGTACCCAACTCCTGGCCATGGACCTAACACCAAACAGCATACCCAACACCAAATTTTTTAATACAGACCCAATTCTGCGAAGTGACAGAGCAGAGGAGACTCTAATCATTTCAACCACAAGGAGGGGAGACAGGGGCAGGACAAGCAAGGCAAGTGAAATGTGGTGGGCACAGGGGGAGACACAGATAAGGTATGGGGGAACTGCGGGGTACCGAAGGCTCCCAGTCTCCTTTGCAACCCAAGGGTCAACATTCCATCCACCAGGAGAGGCTTCGCTGTGCTGTCATTTTTCCACATTTATTTTACTTTTCATGTAAGCAGTGTCACTAACAACTCTGTCATTCCTAGACCCCATGAAAAGTAAAAGGTGGGAACCAGCAGTTAGCATAATGGCTATGTCGCTGGACTCCCATGTAGTCGACCACGGTTCGTGTCCCGGACCCGGTGGCTTAAAACTCACGCCGGGAACGTGTGCATGCGTGCCCAAGATCCCGAGAGGAGAATGGAGGAGAAGGGATTGCGGCGTGACCATCCCCCCTGGGGGGTGATTTCTCGCTTTCTGTCTCTATGTCTCTCTCTGTCTGGCAAGCCCATGCACCTTATAGCGAAAACCTCTTCAAAAAAAAAAAAAAAAGTAAAAGGGGAGCTAACTTTTCTACCCTAAGTAAAGGTGTTCTGTTTACAGGAAGTATTTCTGTAAGGAAAAACAGAAAGGGACTAGGGCAAACCTGATCTTTCTTTTCTTTTTTCTTAATGCTCTACCTTTGAGAAAGGTTTTTTGAAAAATCTTGGCCAAACAGATTTTTTTTTTTTTTGCTATAGGGCACATGCGCTCGCCAGACAGACAGAAAGAGACATAGAGACAGAAAGCGAGAAATCACCCCCCAGGGGGGATGGCCACGCCGCAATCCCTTCTCCTCCATTCTCCTCTCGGGATCTTGGGCACGCACGCACACGTGCCCGGCGTGAGTTTTAAGCCACCGGGTCCAGGACGCAAACCGCGGTCGACTACGTGGGAGTCCAGCGACATAGCCATTACGCTAACTGCTGGTTCCCAACCAAACAGATTTTTTTAAGTCTCATATATTTTACCTAAAGATTTTGGACATCAAACACAAAGCAGGTATCAACGTCCTCACAGCCAGGATCTCCCCTGAGCAGGCAACTTTTAGATTCTCCCCCAGCGGCTGCTTCCCAGAGATGGAGGCCAGCTAAAACCAAAGGTGAATCGGAAGCTGCCTATGAGGACACGTTTAATAAAAGCCCCGAGCCTCCAAAGTAGCCTCATACAAGTCACTATGTTCATACTGTTTGAGAGGAAAAAGCAAATGAAAACATTTTCCCCTGTAATTGAGAAGAACAGACAAGAAAAAGAATATAGATTTCCAAAGTATAAGAGAACAAAAAGTTTTATCCCTAAACCCAAAACTCTCAGCACACACACACACACACACACACACACAAGGTTGGTTAGTTAAAGCGACATCCAGGAAGCAAAACCAGGCTTGCAGATTGCCGACACACGGACAGCAGCAGCCCAGGACTCCCAAAGCCAGGAAGAGCCTATCAGTTTCACAGAGGTCTGCGGAAAACCAGCCCGGTCTGTCTAAAGCCCACCGCTGACCACAAGCTGCACTCTCACAATTTGCTACTGAAAGCTGCCAGGAGCACCAATAAATCCGAGGATAGAGGATAAAAGAGTCCTTGTGAGCGATTCTGCTCCCCCTCCCTCCCCTCAGAGAAAGACTGGCAAAGAAAAGGGGGGAGCGTGCAGAAGAACTCACACGGCCTTTCAATCTCCCCAACTTTTTAACAGCCTGGATCCACAGCCTCTGCAGGGCTTGAGCGGTCTTCATGGTCTCCGGAGACACACAGGCCAGGCCCCTGCCTACATCCCAGACTGCTCGCCCATTTCCATCACTCCACGTGGTTACATAAGGCGGATACAATAGTGGCCCACATTCCCAGCAAATCCTGTTGTCATCCTGCACAGTGACACATCCATACAGCAGGGACGCCAAACGCTTTGCAAAGCACCACTTGTAAGGAAGCAAGCAAGCAGCCTGGATGGGCACTGCTGTCGCAGCTTGCTTCCTCCCCCTTGTCAGAAAAGCAGCACGTTTCCGTAGGGTACAACGATTCAGGATCTGGGCAGGAATGATTCCATGAATGGGACATTTTAGAGCAATACTACGGAAAGAAATATTTGCAGAAGTAGTTCTGCACACTGACTTTCTCATATGCACACAGAAAAGTATAAGCCAGGTCGAAGTGCAGGTAAACTGACCCGCTAATGTCACGTAGAAATGAACAGGCATGCAGAGAAAAGGTTTTGCATCCTTGGAGATAACGAGGGGGAGATAAGATTGGGACCATGGCATGGCAAGGAGCCAACACAGAACAGAGAGCTTTGCTCAGCAAAGTTCTAACTTTCTGTAAACCTCCCAGATAACAGAGTAACAAAGAGCCCTACATTCCATTTCTTTGTCTTTGCCACTTGGGAAACAGAGAGCTGAAAATGCAGATTGATTGATTGATTGATTGATTGATTGATGGTTTCTGTCACAGAGTGTGTGCGCTCCCAGAGACACAGAGAGAGACAGAGACAAGGAAAGTGGGAAGACTTTAAGTTTCTGAACATCTAGAAAAGATGTTATGGCATGCCTAGGGCTTGTGAACTGGGGCTGGGGTTTCAGAAGCAGGGTCTTGGAAGCTTTGGTCATGCTCACAACAATGACATATGTACAGAACCCATCTGGGCCGGCTCTGTGGTGCAGCAATAATGCACTGTTCAAGAGTAGCTGGATCCAGGAACCAGCAGTTAGCGTAATGGCTATGAGGCTGGACTCCCACGTAGTCGACCGCGGTTTGTGTCCCAGACCCGGTGGCTTAAAACTCACGCCGGGCGCGTGTGCGTGCGTGCCCAAGATCCCGGGAGGAGAATGGAGGAGAAGGGATTGCGGCGTGACCATCCCCCCTGGGGGGTGATTTCTCGCTTTCTGTCTCTATGTCTCTCTCTGTCTGTCTGGCGAGCGCACGCGCCCTATAGTGAAAAAAAAAACTCTCAAAAAAAAAGAAAAAAGTGGAAAGAGTATCTGGATCCCACATGGCAACTGAGGTTCAAATCCCAGGCCAAGTCCTACACACATTCCCAAGATTCAGGGAGCAGGGTTGGAAAAAGAGAACTGCTGTGTGGACAGACCCGGTGGAGGGTGCTCTCTCCCTTCTTCTCTCTCTTTCACCTGCCTACGCATGCACGGTAGCATGAATAAAGAAAAACGTTTAAGTGTGACATCCAGTTGGTTTTAGATTTGAATGTATATATCATTTTGGATCAAGAGGTGGAAACCGAGGTTGTGAGGAAAGTCATGATGTATTTTTCTATCCAAAAAAAAAATGGCGTAACTTTCCTGACAACACAATAGAAACAGCTTGAAGCAGAGGCCAGAAAGAGAGTTTTGAAAAACAAGATCTGGGGGGACCAGCAGTTAGCATAATGGCTATGTCACTGAACTCCCATTTAGTCAACCGTGGTTCAAGTCCTGGACCCGGTGGCTTAAACTCATGCTGGGCGTGTGTGCGTGCGTGCCCAAGATCCCAAGAGGAGAATGGAGGAGAAGAGATTGCGGCATGGCCACCCCCCCTGGGGAGTGATTTCTCACTTTCTGTCTGTCTCTCTCTTTCTGGCTAGCGCACGTGCCCTGTAGCAAAAACAAACAAAAAACAAAAACAAACAAAAAAAAAACAAGATCTGGGAGTTCGCAGACGGCATAGTAGTTAAGGTGCTGAACTCCCACATGGCTAACAACCGTGAGAGTCCCAGACATGGTAGCTTGAAAATCACACCGGTGTGTGTGTGTGTACATGCCCAAAATCCCAGGAGGAGAAGGGATTATAGTGGCCCTCCCCCCAGGAGGTGATGTCTTACCTTCCCTCTCACTGTCTCTCTCTGGTGAGTGCACACGCTCAATGGCAAAAATGTGTTATAAAAAAGCTCTGGGGTGCAGTCCTTGCTCTGACTAAACTGTGGGGCCTTGGATATTCCATATCCTTCTGTATAAAATGGAGAGAAAACCATCCGCATCTCAGAGGGCCAACGTCAGCAAGAGAGAAGGCGACCTCTATAAAGTGCTCGGTTTTTGGCTCTCAAAAACCGTTCACGTTCTTCCCTAAGGTTGTATCGGGGAGTTCAACACAGTTCTTCATAAATGTCATAAGGCTAAACAGGACTGAAAATGAACATAATTTTATGTTTCAGATTTTACACTGGAGAGGGCCGGGGGGTACCAAGGTGGACCCTTGGAAGCTCAGCAGATGCCCAGGCCTTTACCCAAGCTGTGTAGACACATGAGGCTCCACACACACCAGCCAGGCTCAGGCCAAGAGCTGGCACACTGGGCCCCCGGCACACAGAAGCCTGGAAATTCAGGCCAGCTCACCCCTTGACTCGGATAATCCTTAGGAAAACTCCCCATGAGGAAATACTCCTTTCCCTAGAATGGATGTATACTACCCAGAAGTCACAGGTATCCTAGAATTTAAGAATTCCAGATTCTTCTACAGCAACTTCCAGAAGTCAGGGGTTCTGGCAACATAAATCTTTTTTTTTTTTTTTAAGGTTTTTTTTGCCATAGGGCATGTGCGCTCCCAGAGAAAGAGAGACAGTGAAAGGAAAAGTGAGAAGTCACCCCCAGGAAGGATGGCCACGCAGCAATCCCTTCTCCTCCATTCCTCCTGGGATTTTGGGTACACACACACATGCACCTGGTGTGATTTTCAAGCTGCCATGTCTGAGACTTGAACCAGGATGGGCTATGTGGGAGTCCAGTACCTTAACCACTATGCCACCTGCTGGCCTCATCATTGTTTTTTTAACTGTGCTCAAAACCACATAATAAAATTTGCCATTTGAACCATTTCTAGTGTACAGTAGTTACCATGGTTTGAATGGATGTGTCTCTCTGAAAGTCTGTGTTGGAACCTAAGACTCAACATGATAGTATTCAGAGGCAGACGCTTTCTGTGGAGATGAAGGTCTCCATCCTCTAATGGAATTAGTAGCCTTACTAAAGGGCTTAAGGGAGCTAGCTAGGTCCTCTTATCCTTCTCCTGTTAATCACATAAGGACACAGCATTCGTCTCTCCTGTCTCTTCTGCCAGAGATGGGTGGATTTTCAGCTGAAGTCGGCCGAAGGAATCACTGAGCTAGGATACGTCCACAAGGCACCATCTTGGAAGCAGAGAGCACCTCTCCTCAGACATCAACCCTGCTAGTGCCTTGAGCTTGGACTTCCCAGTCCCCCAAACTATGAACAAATAACCTCCTATTCGTTATAAATGACCCAGTTACAGGCATCTTGTTACAGCAGCAGGAACAAACTCACACACAGTAGTGTGTTCACACTGTTGTGCAATCAATCTTCAGAACTCTTTTCATCTTGCACAACTGAAACTCTGTACCCATTAAACAACTTCCCATTTCTCGTTTCCCCCAACTCCTGGCTACCACCACTCTACTTCTGATTCTGTAAATCTGACTACATTAGTACCTCATATAAATGACATCATACAGTATTTGTCTTTCTGTGACTCATTCACTTCACATAGCACAGTATGCCCAAGGATCACCCAGGGTGAAGCGTGTGTCAGTCAAAACTTCCTTTCTAAAGGTGAGTAACACTCCTTTGTACGTATAGGACACATTCTGTCTATTCATACATCCATCTATGAACACTTGGGAACTCCCACCTGCTGGCCACTGTGAATGATGCTGCCATGAACACGGACATGCAAATATGCCATCACTAATTCTTAACTCATTCATTCAACAAATGCTTACCAAGTGCAATGTGCTGCTTGAGATCAAATGAAGATCAAAGCAGATACAGCACAGCCCTCAGGAAGCTCTGCAAAAGCCAGTAGTACCTGATCTGGCCAGGGGGAGTTTCTTTTTTCCTTTTTTTTTTTTTTTTTTTTTTTTTTTCTGGAGTGGTTGCAGAAAGACAGAGACAGAGAGCTAGAAAGCAAGAAATCACCCTCCAGGGCCATGCTACAATCCCTTCTCCATTCTCCTCTTGGGATCTTGGGCATGCACGCACACGTGCCTGGAGTGAGTTTAAGCCACCAGGTCCGAGACTTGAACCACGGTCGACTACATAGGAATCGGGTAACATAGCCATTAGGCCAACTGCTGGTCCTGGGCCAGGGGGAGTTTCTATGAGCAGGAGACACGGGGCTGGCCCTGTGGCCTAGTGGTTAAAAGAGCCGAATTCCATGTGGCTGAACACAGTTTGATTCCTAGCCCTGGAGGCCTAGAAAAACACTCGGAGTACATGTGTGTGCATGCCCCAAATCCTGACAGGATGGTGAAATGGAGAAGGGATCGGGGTGTGACCACAGCCCATTGGGGAAGTGATTTCTCTTTCCACTTCTAGTGAGCACATGTACCCTCCCTCTGGCAATTAAAAAAGAGAGAGAATGAGAGAAAGACAAGGAGATACAATCTCAAAGAATACACAGCTGGGCGCCGAGTGGTGTGACACAGGAGGAGAGGGTTTGTTAGAACAGTGCAAGGCAATGCCCTAACCAAGTCAAGGATGAAGGGACCATAGAGAATGGCCATCAGAACATGAAACTGCACCCAATCCGACTGCCACCTCCATGAGACTTCAAAAGTTTAAGGACGAGTTTGTGGACATCCACGGAAGGATGGCCGAGCAGGGCTGGAGGAGGCTGAGTGGCAGGGCAACAGGAAGTACATCAGGTGTGAAGCTGATGGCAGACGGGGAGGTACTGAACGGGGTGGGAGGTCGAGGGCGCAGGGGGCCATGAGCCAACCTCAGCACTGACAGACGGCCGACTTGTCAGGTCA